AAGGGCATAACAAGTAGGGTTCCAAAGAGGTATGTTTTGGGACGGGTTCTGTTCAATATCTTCATAAACGATTTAGATGATGACATAAAAAGTACACTTATCAAGTTTGCATATGATACCAAGCTTGGAGGGGCTGCAAGTGCTTTGGAGGATAGGGTCATAATTCAAAATGATCTGGACAACCTAGAGAAAGGGTCTGCAATAAACAGGGTGAAGTTTAATAAGGACAAATGCAAAGTACTCCACTTAGGAAGGAACAATCAGTTTTACACATACAGAATGAGAAGCAACTATACATTAAATTAATGGGGAATGCCTACCTCCTAGAATGAAAAGGGAGCTTGAAAGATCATTGAGTCTAGTCCCCTGCCTTCACAGCAGGACCAAATACCACCCCTGACAAATTTTTGCCCTAAATGGCCTCATCAAGGATTAAACTCACAACCTTGGGTTTAGCAGGCCAATGCTCAAACCACTGAGCTATCCCTCCCCTATTCCTTGGTAGGAAGAAGTACCACAACTTCATAGTGATGCCTAATCATGAACTGCTTCTGTCTTACAAGGATCTATGTGGACTCCCTTGCAAGGCAGAATGTAGCCTAAGGAATCCACTGTGAGCTGATTGATATACATTTCTCTAGTATAGCATAGGCTGGTCTTCAGAGTAAGTTAGGATGTTCTCTATAAAAGCAACCACATGGCAGTGAAACATATCCTGTAAGTCATTATTAATTAGATGCAAAAATATCACAAGCATATTCATAAGTCCAAAGCACATCTCCCACCAATTATTTGAAGTGGCTATGTACAGTGTGAAAAATGGTCTTGCATTCATCCCCATACTGGATTCTGCCTAGACTGTATGTCCCTCTGAGCTGTAACTTGATGAATAGTTGGGCTGTTCTTGTGAAACCCAGGAGCTCTGGGATCAGGGGTAGCAGATATTGATGTCACACTGAGATTTTTATTTAGAGCACAGTAATCCACATGGAATCAACTTTCTTTTTCATGAAAAGGACAGGGCCCCTGGCTGGGGATATGGAATGCTATCAGCTCCTGTTATGGAGATAGGAACATTAAATAATACTAATAACATGGGTTGATATTCCAAAACCTCTATGGACTCCCTATGTGCTACCCTCCTGAAAGTCAATAGAATTTGGGCATCTAAATCCCTTGCCATGGGTGAAAATTTTGGTCTTGGTTGTTTTTAAATTATTTTTTGTTTATAATTTACCCTGGGTACAAAATAATGTTTAAAAATGTACCTCCCCTGAGAGTGGGACCTGATCAAATGATACTAAGTATGACTGATGGCAATGAAGCTCTGAGGCGATTAAAAGACTAAATTACAGAGCAAATTAACTTCAGATTTTCCCAGAAAGACATCTGGTGCCCTAGCAGTGATATGCTTTTGGTTCTCATCCATGCTTGTCTTTTGTACCTGCCTAAAGGATTTCAATACAGCCTTAACTACGGAGCTGCTACTGACACCTTTGTAATAAAATTGTAAGCATGGTAACTAGAACAGCAGCCAGCACTCTAACCAAGATCAAACCAGTCCCTTATCTGTTAATAATATTTCCTTTTGTGGTTATCCGTGGTGTTCCCTCAGCAAACAAGCTTCTTTGCCCATGTTAGCCATTAGGCATAAAGCTTCTAGTATAACTGCCTTTGCAGCTCTTAGATCTCTTTCCTTGTCACTGTGTGGCAGCACTTCTCCATTGAAGAGATGCTTCTTATTTTTATTCTCTGCTTCAAGACCAGTTGAATGATCAAAGTCTTTCTGTCACCTAATCTCTGCACTGTTCCCTCATTATTTGCTGTTCTCATTGCTCCTTCCCTGAAGCCCTTCCTACCCTCACCCACCTTGTTTCAGATTCTTTTCTTATCCTTTCCCCATCTCCTCAGCCTTAGAGTTTGAATTTTAAAATGTGCATCCCAAAGGTTACAGCATTAGACTTTTCTTATGCGCTGTGCCATTATCATAATTCATGGCATAAGAACCTGACAAAGATGATTATCTATGGAAGTTTCCCACCTGTCCCCTCTTTCTCCCCTGCTGCCTCTGTGGGTCCAAATGTAGATCCCTGCTGCACAACACTCATTCCTACTCTACCCCCAGGAATGTTTTCATGATGATCTAATGATCCTTCAGCTACCTGAATAACCAGCCTTTTGTTCTTAATCACCCTGCTTCCTTCTTTTTATAACAAACTCCCTGCCCCAAAGGCAAAGCTGCAGGCAGCTCAAACTCTGTTGCATTTATGAATAGCCTCTGGAGTCAAGACATGGGCTTTAAGCACACCTCAAGTATGAAATCCAGGGGTTCCAACTTAGGAGGGGGGCTACTGCCCCCCCAACTCTCCATAAATGGCACCCTTGCTGGTCAGTTTTTCTTTGTTCAGATTCATTTTCACATTGGCATTTAATGTGGATAAGTGTAAAGTAATGCACATTGGAAAAAATAACCCCAACTATACATACAGTATGATGGGGGCTAATTTGGCTACGACAAATCAGGAAAGAGATCTTGGAGTTATCGTGGATAGTTCTCTGAAAACTTCCACACAGTGTGCAGTGGCGGTCAAAAAGGCAAATAGGATGTTAGGAATTATTAAGAAAGGGATAGACAATAAGACACAGAATATCTTACTACCCCTGTATAAAACTATGGTACGCCGACATCTTGAATACTATGTACAGATGTGGTCTCCTCATCTCAAAAAAGACATTTTGGAGTTGGAAAGGGTTCAGAAAAGGGCAACTAAAATGATTAGGGGTTTGGAACGGGTCCCATATGAAGAGAGGCTAAAGTGACTGGGACTTCTCAGTTTAGAAAAGAGGAGACTGAGGGGGGATATGATAGAGGTCTATAAAATCATGAATGGTGTGGAGAGGGTGAATAAAGAAAAGTTATTTACTAGTTCCCATAATATAAAAACTAGAGGACACCAAATGAAATTAATGGGTAGCAGGTTTAAAACTAGCACAAGAAAGTTCTTCTTCACACAGTGCATAGTCAACCTGTGGAACTCCTTGCCAGAGGAGGCTGTGAAGGCTAGGACTATAACAAAGTTTAAAGAGAAGCTAGAGAATTTCATGGAGGTTAGGTCCATAAAAGGCTATTAGCCAGGGGATAGAAATGGTGTCCCTGGCCTCTGTTTGTCAGAGGCTGGAGAAGGATGGCAGGAGACAAATCACTTGATCATTTTCTTCGGTCCACCCCCTCTGCGGCACTTGGTGTTGGTCACTGTTGGCAGACAGGCTACTGGGCTAGATGGACCTTTGGTATCACCCAATACGGCCATTCTTATGTGCAGTGTGCTTCTGTTTGGGCTTTCAGTATTGCAGGGAAATGTGTGATTTACATCTTTTCAACCTCACTGGAGTCAATGGAGCAAAATTCTTCCCTGATATATAACTGGTTTGATCCCACTGACAATAATTTACAATACTTAATTTTTGATAAATTTCTCCTTCAGTGTGATCTGCAAGACATGCAAAAAGACAAGGATTTGGCAACATCTCTTCAAAATAACACTGTCCAGCAGATTACTTGCAGTTTGTTTGAAAATACAGATTATCATGACTACTTGCATTTCCCTTTCATCAAACTTGTAATAAACCTAGATAGGGGAGAAGAAAATCAAAGGCATTACTGGCTAATATTTTATGCCAGTTGGACTTTTTTTTTTGTTTTCTTGTGGTTTCATGAGTAGTGGGATGAATGACTTTGCTCTTCGTACATTCTGGAAGTGTGAATGTCATTGAAAATACAGATTATCATGACTACTTGCATTTCCCTTTCATCAAACTTGTAATAAACCTAGATAGGGGAGAAGAAAATCAAAGGCATTACTGGCTAATATTTTATGCCAGTTGGACTTTTTTTTTTGTTTTCTTGTGGTTTCATGAGTAGTGGGATGAATGACTTTGCTCTTCGTACATTCTGGAAGTGTGAATGTCA